CAGTTCCAGGTCAGGCTCCAAAGCTACAGAGAAACCTTGCCTTAAACACCGCCCCCCCCCAAAAAAAAGAAAGAGAAAAAAAGGAGTGAGCCTAAGCCAAGCTTTCATAATTAATAAGTCTCTGTATCATGATTTGGGAGCTGGCGGTTCAAAACAATCTGCTATAGGACATCATATCCCCTGAGCTGGAGTTACAGGTGATTGTCAACCATCTGATAGTGGGTGCTGGAAACTGAATTCAGCCCCTCTGGAACTCAGCAGCAAGTGCCCTTGTTTAGTCTTCTCTATAGCTGTGTTTTTGTTTTGTTTTGTTAAGAAAAAAAGTCTCATTTTAGGGGCTGGAGAGATGACTCAGAGGTTAAGAGTATTGGCTGCTCTTCCAGAGGACCTTAGTTCAGTTCCCAGCAACCACATGGAGGCTCATAACCGTCTGTAGTGAGATTGGATGCCCTGTTCTGGTGTGCAGGCATACATGCAGACAGAGCACTCGTATACATTAGATAAATCTTTAAAAAATGAAAAACCTTATTTTATTTACTTATTTATTTTTGGCTTTTTGAGACTAGGCTTCTCTGTGTAGCCCTGGCTGTCCTGGAACTCACTCTGTAAACCAAGTTGGTCTCAAACTCACAGAGATCCACTTGTCTCTTGTCTTCTGAGTGCTGGGATTAAAGGTGTGCGCTGCCACTGTCCAGTTCATCAAGTTTTGTTTTGTTTATCTTTTTGTTTGTTTGGTTTGAGACAGTATTTCTCTGTGTAACAGCCTTAGCGGTACTGGAACTTGCTTTCCTGACCAGTCTGACCTGGAGTTCAAAGAGATCCACTGCCTCATGCACCACTATATATTCTTTCTTCTTTTCTTTTAAAGATTTAGTTATTTATTATATATACAGTGTTCTCCCTGCATGTCTGCCTAAAGGCCAGAAGAGGGCACCAGATCTCATTCCAGATATTTGTGAACCGCCATGTGGTTACTGGGAATTGAACTCAGATCCTGGTAGCCACTGAGTCATCTTTCCAGCTCCTCATCAACTATTCTTTTTTTGTTTTGTATGTTTTCAAGCTATGTATTTATTTATTTATTCTATGTAACAGTCCTGGCTGTTCTGGAACTTGCACTGTAGATCAGACTTGCCTAGAACTCACAGAGATCTGCCTGCCTCTGCTTCCTAAAGTGCTGAGATTAAAGGTGTGTGTGCCGCCACCACCACCAGATCCATCTTTTTTTTCTAAATAACCTGAAATGTTGGAGCTCAGATCTTTTATTTGCTATGTATTTATTTATTTATTTATTTATTATGTATACAACGTTCTTTCTGGATGCATGCCTGCAGGCCAGAAGAAGGCACCAGATCTCATTATAGATGGTTATGAGCCACCATGTGGGTGCTGGGAATTGAACTCAGGACCTTTAGAAGAGGCATCACTAGCCTGGGCCTGGGCCCATTGAATATTAATGGTAAAGTCATCCCTCCAGCCCCTGAATTTTGGGTTTTTGAAAGTGCAATCTGACCTTGAGTTTACTTTGTAGTCTGTGTGCCTTGAACTCTCCATTGTCCTACCTCAGTCTCCTCTGTATTGGTATTTACATGCCTGTGATGTCACATACAATTTGAAAGATACTTTTATTTCCTGTTTTTTTTTTCCTGAGGCATTGGCAGCTCTACTGAAAGTCCACACTGCAGTCTCTTCTACTGTGACCTTTGTTTGCTTTGATTTTTGTTTTTAGATATCATCATCCTCTGTGTTTTGTCTTGTCTTTGGCTTGCCATCTTCTCCTTCCTCTTGGCTTGAACCATTACTTCCACGCCAATGACTCTAAAGTGTTTAGTTACAGTCTAGTAGCTCAGCAATTAAGGACATTACATGTCTACTGGCTATTTCTGTCTAGACATCTCCCAGACATCTTGATCCCAATGTGCCCTTAGTATATAGCATCTTTCTGACCCAGCTTATTTTTCCTCCAGTGGCTTTTTTTTTTTGCCAAAGGTCTTTTTTTTCATTGTTTTGTTTGTTTTTTTATTTCGAGACACAGTTTCCTCCTGATTGTTCTGGAACCCTGTAGACCAGGCTGCCCTTGAACTGAGAGATCGGCCTGTCTCTGCCCTCTGAGTGCTGGCACCAGTGTGTGTGCAAACTGCTGCCTGGTTTGCATTCCTTGATCAAGACTTAAAGCCTTTGGAGACTGAGCCTAGTGGCTAAATTCAAATCATGTGTCTTCATTTACCCTGATTACCCAAGGCATGGTTCCTTTATTTCTTTCATTTCCCTTCCTTCCCTCCCCGCTCCCAATTCCCTCTCTTTCCCATCCATTCTTCTTTATTTGTTTTTTAAATGTATATGGGTATTTAGCCTTTATATATTTGTACCTTGTGTGTGCCTGATGCCCATAGAGGTCAGAAGATGGTGCTGAAATCCAGGTTCCTCTGGAAGAACAATCAATGCTCTTAACTGCTGAACCATGTCTCCAGTTATATTCCTTATTTTCAGTTTTTAAAGATATGGCCTCTTGTAGCACAGGCTGCCCTTGAATTCCCTATAAAGATGAAATTAACTGTGAACCTCTGATCCTCCTATTTCTATTTCCCAAGGCTGGGATTAACAGGTGTGAAACATCATGCCTGGCTATCTACTTTATGTTCTACTAGAGTATAACTCTCTCACATCTATTCTGGCTAATTTTATGTCAACTCGACACAGGCAGAGTCATCTGAGTGGAGGAAACCCCAGTTGAGAAAATACTTCCATGAGATTAGGTTATAGGTGCCATGCGGTGGTGGCATCTGCCTTTAATCCCAGCACTCAGGAGGCAGAGGCAGGTCGATTTCTGTGAGTTCAAAGTCAGCCTGGTGTCAGAGACCAGCTTCGATAGCTATAGAATGAGTTCCAGGACAGCTAGAACTACACAGACAAACCCTGTCCCGAATAAAAAAACAACAAAAAACAAACGACAACAAAATGGGCTGGAGGGAAACCTGTAGAGCTCTTTCTTAATTAGTGATTGATGTGGGTTGGGCCAGCCTGTTGTGGGTGGGGCTACTCCTGGGGTGGTTCCACAGGAAAGCAGGCTGAGCAAGTCATGGGGAGCAAGCTGGTAAGCAGCACTCCTCCATCAGCTTCTGCCTCCAGGTTCTTGCCCTGTTCTTGTCCTGACTTCCTTCAGTGATGGACAGATGGACTATGATGTGGAAGAGTAAGCCAAAATAAACCCTTTCCTCCCCAGCCTGCTCTTGGTCATGGTGTTTTGTCACAGCAATAGTAACTCAAATTAAGACACCGTAATCGTGTCCTGGCTGTAGACCAGGCTGTCCTTGGACTCACAGAGATCCACCTGCCTCTGCCCCGTGAGTGCTGGGATTAAAGGTGTGCACCATCATGGCCAGCTTTATTACCAACTTTTTAAATGAAACACAGAGTAATAAGCCAGCCAAGGCAACAGAAAATAAGAAACAAATACCCAACCCAACTTTTAATAGCCCAAATGTTAAGTAGATGAGAAAAATAAAAATTTACCTATCTAGGTCTGAGCGTGGTTATACTAGCTTCTAATCGCAGAGGCATGTGGATCTCTGAGTTTGAGGCCACTCTGGTGTACACAATGAGTTCAAGGTCAGCCTGGTCTACATAGAGGGACCTTGTTTCAAATAATTATTCATACACACACACACATACACACTTTTTCAAATTCTTCTCTATTACTAACTAGAACTGTAGGCAAAGTAATAATGCAGATCTTTTGCTTTCTCATAAAACCGATTTCATAGTTATACGATTAAAATATACAAATATGCATATGCTGTTACTTTTGCAGAGGTGGGGGTGGGGTAGGGTGAGAGAATGAATCCTGGGGCTCCCAAGCTAAGCAGGCACTCTTCATAACATCAGAAGCTCAAAGTCTCATTTGCATATTAGAACACCGAGACTCTATCGGGGACTAGTATGCAGGCCAGCAATTCCAGCATTTCTGGGAGGTAAGGACAGGACTGCAACAAGTGTGACATCAGTCTGATCTATACCGCCCTTTCCAGTTCAACCAGGGGTACATAGTGAGATCTTGTCTCAAAAATCAAACAACAATGGGCTGGAGAGATGGCTCAGCGGTTAAGAGCATTGCCTGCTCTTCCAAAGGTCCTGAGTTCAATTCCCAGCAACCACATGGTGGCTCACAACCATCTGTAATGAAGCCTGGTGTCCTCTTCTGGCCTGCAGACAGAATACTGTATACATAATAAACAAATAAATAAATATTAAAAAATAATCAAACAACAAAATACGAAAGTGAGACTCAAGTTCCTTGCTACGATAATAAACTTTACATGCTGCTTTGCACATATTTACACACATTATTATTTTTATTAATTATTATTATTATAGTTTTTCGAGACAGGATTTTTCTGTGTAGCCCTGGTTGTCCTGGAACTCTCTCTGTACACCAGCCTGGCCTCGAACTCCCAGAGTTCTGCCTGCCTCTGTCTCCTGAGTGCTGGGATTAAAGTCGTGCGCCATTACCACTCCGTTACATTCTTTATTTAATGTATGAGTTTATTTCCAATATTTTTACTTAAACCGATGCGATATGCTGTGGTGGTGGCGCAGGGCTTTAATTTCACTCAGAAAAGGCAAAAGCAGGCGGATCTCCGCTCTAAGTTTGAGTGCAGCCTGGTTTAAGTGGTTAGTTCCAGACCAGCCAATGCTACATAGTGAGTCTGTTTTAAAAAAAAAAAAAAAAAAAAACTGAAGCAAACATTTCACAACATATATACTTCCGAGTTTTGCCAGTGTTTTTAGAGAATGCATTTATTTCTAGAAAGAACTTCTGAGTTCAGTCTTCCCTATTTAAAACAAAACCAAAAAAACCTGCCATAGCGGATTTAAATCCGTGGCCTTAAACTAAGGCTAATTCGCTCGCGATGCCTTTTGGGAGTTGTAGTCTTTGCGATGCTTGCTGGGAATCGTGGTCTGAGCATACTTCAGGAAGAGGGCGTGGACGAACCTGAGGAAAGGAGGGTTTTAGGACCCGGCGGGGCACGGCGGACTAGGGTTAAGGATCGGGGAGGTCGGGAGCGCGCCCGCGATTCCGGAGCAGTGGCGGCCTTGCCGGAGTCGGGAGCGAGCAGGCCTGCGAGCCCTGGGGTGCTGGAGGAGGAGCGGGGGGCTCGGTAAGCGGCACGGGCCCAGCCGGATCCTGGAACCTAGCCAACCCCGCGGGTCCGCCCTAGTAGGCCTGGACCCAGAGGCGGCCCTGGGGGCGGGGCCTGACCTGCCGCGGGGCCGTGGGGGGTGACGGGGCAGAGGGAGGGCTGTAGCTGCCGGGGCTGCTCGCGGCGGGCGTGTAGGGCCTGGGGTCGCGGTGTGGAGTTCGCTCCCACTGCTTTCGAATGCCCGCTACCGGCCTGGTCCGGCCCCTCGGAAGTCGCGCCGAGGTCTCCGGGTCCGGGAGGAGCTGACCTTTGACCCCAGCGCGGGGCTGACCCTAAGTGGGTCAGCTCCTAGGAGAGAGCGATCTCCTCCTAGGGAGGTGGGTCCCTGCGAAGTGTTCAGATGCCCTGGAAGGGCCGGGTCCTGCGCTCTTCGGTCTCCGCCCTACAGTCTTCAGCACCCACTTCACGCAGAGTTCATAAATCCACTTTGCTTTCATGGGATGAGTGGGTGCAAACCGGGACACCCACCTCTTTCCTGGCGGGTGTGGGGGAGAAAGAGAGCAGTCACTGGGGAAGTTGAGTGCTATCCCTGGCGAATGGGACAGTGGATGGATATTTGAGCCGTGTCCTAATAAATGTTCCTGGACTATCGGAATCTCCCCAGCTCTTTTTTCCAGAAAGAGTTTTAAACTTAAGAACAAGCATGGTGTTTAAACGTGGTTTGTGTTAAAGCTACTATAGGTAGCCCTGTATCCCTGGCCGGTTCGGAACTAGCTGTGTAGACCAGGCTACACAGAGATCCTTCTGACTCTCCCTTCCAAATGCTGTGATTTCAGCCTACCCCACCGTGCTCAGCTTCTCTCTTGCGTGTGATTTAGCACAGTTACTTGGAGTTGTCTTTGGTAGGTTTTAGATTGGATATGTATGCCTAGTCATTTCCATGTGAAGGCTTTCAAGACAGCAAATCAAACAAGGGATTTGATAACTCCTATTAGGAGTGTAGAGGGAGTTCTCATTCTTTTTTTTTAATGAATAAGCAAACCTTTAATGTGTTTTTATTATGACAGTCATGTGCCTTGTCATGTTTTATATTGCTCTTAGCTCTTTGGAGGTTGAAACAGGAGGATTGCTGAGAATTTGAGGCCAGTCTGACATACACGTTGAGTTCAAGGCAAACTCGAGTAGCTTAGTCCCCCAAATTACCAAACATAAAAACAAACCTCACCTCAGACAACTCAAAACCTAGAATTTGGGATGGAGACCTGGCTAGAGGTTAAGAACATTTACTGCTCTTTCAGAAGACCCCAATTCAGTTTCTTTCTTTCTTTTTTTTTAATATTTATTTATTTATTATGTAAGAGGGCACCAGACCTCATTACAGATGGTTGTGAGCCACCATGTAGTTGCTGGGAATTGAACTCAGGACCTTTGGAAGAGCAGGCAATGCTCCCAACCTCTGAGCCATCTCTCCAGCCCCTCCCAGTTCAGTTTCTAGGCAGCTCATAGCCACTTGTAAGTCCAGGTCCCCAGGATCTGTCATCTTTGGCTTTTGAGGGCACTTGCCCTCTTCAACACCATGCCCTTACACAGATACAAACACACATATTAAAGAATAATAACATAAGCGTGAGGAAAATAGCCAGACTAACCCAGAATTTGGGGTTTCACACAGCACAACTTAGGGATTCATAAAGTTTGGAAAGTATTGACCACATATTTGGAGAAAGTTCTCTAGGAGTATGTGTTAGAAAACTGTGTAAAGATGTTTGTACAAAGGGAAGATTCATTGCCTCAGGTCTCGGTCAGGAGATCTTCGTAGGGCTGATCATCTGAACTGTGTGCTGAAGGTTAAGCAGGAGCTTGCACAATAAAGCTTTTGAGTCACAGAGGCATGGTGTGGTGTGAAGGGAAAAACCCAACATGGTGTTTATGTGGGGGTCAAAAATTCACCCCAAACAGGGTGTGTGCTGGGGAGTTGTCTGGAGGGGAGATTGAAAAGAGGGCAGGGAAGCCGCTGATGCTTAAAAAAATTAACTTATTCTTTTATGTGCATATATGCCTATATATGCCATATATCTATCTATATGTATGTATGTGTGGGTACCTCTTGTGCCTGGTGCCTGCACAGGCCAGAAGAGGACATCAGATCCCCTGTAACTGGAGCTGCGCATGGCTGTGAGCTGTCCTGTAGGTGCTGGGCCTTGAGCCCTGGTCATCTGGAAGAGCACCCAGTAGTCTTAACAGCTGAGCCATCTCTCCCACCCTGTAACATTTTTAGCGAGTGGCAGAAGTGCAGATTAAGAGACAGATGAGGAAAGACGAGATAGGGTTGTTAGAGTAGGACCTATTTTATGTGATGATTGTAAGGAATAAGCGCAGAGTATTTAACACATGGATAGTAGTGCCTAGTGCTAGTCAGCCTTCGCAGTGATGCGGGTTAGGGCATTTCACCTCCCTCAGATCGGAAGCCGGCTCTGAAGATAGGGAATTGACTGAAGAATCCCATGTTTGGGAATCTGAAGCGGAGCAGTGATAGGGTGAAGACAGTATCCTGTCCTGGGCCCATGAAGGCTTCAGCGAGATGGCGGCAAGAGTGCAAGCCTGTTCTACTTTCATTTTGAAGAAAGGCTTGGAGTAACTCGCAGTAGAGATCTGGCTGGTTAGGTCAGTTGGTTACAGTGTGGTGCAAATGGCAGGAATGATGGAGAAACCAGAAGGGCTTCTCTACTTGTTTCCCAGCCTTTTGGCTAGAAGTTGGGGAACCTGTTGTCTATGCTAGTAAGAGAGCCTGTGCCAAGGAATCATGTGAAAGTCAGTCAAGTCCTCAGGCTTTCAGATGGAAGGGTAGCTCGAAAAGGAGGAGTCGAGTGCACAGGTAGAAAAGCCTACAGTTTAATGATGTAGGCCAGCGAATGCGGTAGGGCTTACAGAAGGGTGTAGGAAGCAGGTAACTAGATATTTCTCTTCAGTCTTAGGGCTAGAACCCAGGGCCTCTCTGGAATGGGATGTAGCCAGGCAAAGTCTACACCCCTGGCTTTCCCTACACATGCACACACACACACTTTAAACTTTAAAAGATAAAAAACTTTTTTTTAATCTGTGACCAGGAAGCTTTAGGAGAGCCAGGTTTGAAGTCTCTTCTTAGCTTGTTATAAATGTGTTGTCTCTCTTAGGTAATGGGTGAATGACTCATGGCAAAATTGTCCACAATGAGATCCTCTGACTCGAAGTGATTGTTAAAAATGGCCATGAAAAATTGACTTTGCTAAACTATTGTTTTGTTTGTATTTTGAGACAGGGTCTTGACATATAGCTCAGGCAGGGCTTGACCTGGCAGTGACCTTCCTGTTTCAGCCTCTTGAATGTTGTAGTTATAGACACATGATATAACAGCTGGTGTTTTGTGTACATATGCCCGTGTGTGTATGTGCTCTTGATACTCTTTGATAAAGTTCTCTCACTGAATGTGAAATTTAGTGATGAGCTACACTGGCTGGCTGTTCACTCCCCAATGTTGAGAGTACAGATGCTCAAACTCACCAGGTAGCTGAGGATGACCTTGAACTCTTGATTCTTGCCCCCACTCATTAATGCTGGGATTAGAAGCATGTGCCACAAAGGCCAGTTTAGATGATGGTTCTCAAGCTTTAGAATTACTTGGAGTAGGGTTTGTTAACTTTGCCATTGTTGGCATATTGGAGTGGGTACTTCCTTGTTAGAGAAGGTTTCTTGTACATTGTAGAATGCTTAGCAATACCCCTGGCCTCTACCAGGTGGATTCCATTCGTATTTCTCCTGGTTGGAACAACCTAAAATGTTTCTAGACTTTGACAAATGTCCTATGGGGACATTAGAAACCACTGACCTGGAGTGATTATTAAAAATGTAGCCCCCCCCCCCAAGCTGGGTATGGTGTCCTATGCCTTTAATTCCATAATTTGGGAAGCAGAGGCAGGTGAACCTCGGTGAGTTCTAGGCCAGCCTGGTCTATGTAGTGAATTTCAGGATAGCCAGGCCTACATAGAGAGACCCTGTTTCAACAAAGAAACAAGAAAATGTAGACTGTAGTCGGACTTTCTTTGGACTGCCTGCTCCTAAGTAATGACACAGAGACTTATTAATTTTGAAAGCTTGGCCTTTGGCTTAGTCTTGTTCTCAAGTAGTTCTTATAACTTAAATTTATCTGTTTCTATTAATCTATGTTCTGCCATTTGATTTTTTACCTCCTCCATTCTGTATGTTTGACTTCATGTCTTGCTAGCTTTTCCTGCACACCAAATTCACCCCCCTGAGTTCCTCTCTCTGCCTGGAGGTCCCAGCTAACCTCTCCTCCTAGCTATTGGTGGTCCAGCTTTTTGTTAAACCAATTACAGAGACACATCTTCATATAGTGTACAAATACCTGTAATATTTTCCTGGTTTTGATAAATAAAAAGGAAAGGGTTTATCTCTAACCCAGTTAAACTATATACAATATGAACAATTATCAAGTTAGGATTACGTTCATAATGTCCATTTGTATTGGGCAAATTTGGAGAAATTACTCTTATATATCCTATCTTGATGAGTCCAAAGTTTTATACCTAAACCACTTTCTATCATAATTTGTATTACTATCCTAAAAAATATCTGTTTAGGCCGGGTGGTGGTGGCACACACCTTTAATCCTAGCACTCGGGGCAGAGGCAGATTTCTGTGAGTCAAGGCTAGCCTGGTCTACAAGAGATAGTTCCAGTACAGGCTCTAAAGCTACAGAGAAACCTTGTCTCAAAACACCAAAAACAAAACAAAACAAAAAAAACCTTTTTAGACCTTAAAACATTTTCTTAGTTAAACAACTTAAACTTTTATGTCTTTCAACCTTATAAACTTTATATCTACCTCTTTTATAAGTTTCTTTTCTGAATTTAGTAAGAAAGAAAACAGTTTAACTATCTAGTCTTCAACCCCATCAGAGACCCGAGAAGGATAAAACATTACCTGAGTAAACAGGAAGTGTAGAGTAAACAGCTTCCAAA